TTTTCAGAATCTTTCAAATCTACTACCCAAACTATCAAACTTACTATCTTAATTCCAGATAAAATCACCTGAACAGCAACATAATAATGATAATGCCGTCTTGAAATTCTGAGAAATGGTTTTTCCTTGAAAAATAAAAACGCCGTCCCGCCTATGGAGACACCTACATGTACTAAACTTCTTTATTAACGACTAGTTATGATTACGACATATCACATCTCTTGAATTGTTTCAATTGTTGGCATAGCCAACATTACTGTGTTGCTCTGAACTGAAGATTGTCAACATTAACATTATGCAAATGATTCACAGAACGTTTATATTACAATCAAATACCTGAACTTGGAATTTTTTTATTGCGATAAACTGAGAATAATTCCATTCACTGACTTTGGAGTAATGCATTACTATTAACAGATTCATGGAATGGGAGACAACAGATAAAAGGCGTGATAACATATTTTGAAATACTATTCTATAATGTTAAAAAATATATTACAATATATTACAACGTATCTCATGTTTCCGCAAAACATAAAAGTTCAGTAATAAATACATACAGTTCAATTTAGAAGTTTAAATTTCACACAAGAAAACCATAACCCCTAATATTGAATTACAGGTATCTTTCAAAGGCTTTAGACTTATTTTTATTATTAGTTTTTGAAACGCTTTGTTTGATGCCAGAATCTCTCTCAGCATCAACAACTTAATTCTAGACTCATTAGCGCAGTTTGTCTTTGCTGTTCAATTATACAAGATGTCATATTCGTTTTGTTTACTCTAACGTGACGTAATTTGCTCTGATCGACATTCAAGATATCACGGCGGTTTGCCGAATGTAGTTTTATTTTATCGGAATATTACTAATCTCGCTCATAATAATGCAATAAATGCATGTTTTGTTATTCATTAACAGGGTTTCATTTAATAAATACATCATGCCTATTGTAGCACTGTCCTGAAAATGTAAGAGATCCTCTTGCAAAAGCAAATTGCCTTCTACTCAATACAAATCGCATGTCAAATTTTCTTTAAGGAAAAAAAGATCCAATAACGGTATTTCCAATGATATTATTACTTTTTTATTGCCATTTTATTTCGATAGGTAAATTGGTTCTAGTCACTCCGATAGCAAAAATGTCATAGTAAGCTTCAAAAACAATATTTGGTAAACAAAAAGCAGAGTGTAGAAACACGATTTAGAGCAAGATTCGTCCACATCCATAGAAGCACATAAAGATTGAAATCAAATCATTCTGTTTCAATTATTACTAACTTTATTCATGAAACTTTTGAGCTGTTCAATTCTGATTTCTTAATTTTTTATGGAATAACATGATAAGTAAATGTTGCTAAATTATTTTACTACTTTAGGTATGTTTGCCGTGTAACACATAATTTCTTTAGCATGGGATATCTTTCTTGTAGAAAATAATAAAAGGTTCAAAATGTATATAACTTGAATATTGAGTTTTCTGGAAAACTCACAAATATCAAATGCTACAGAATGGAGTTTCTCATTTTCTGAAGCAGATTGGAAGAGAGTTCATTCAAAGACATAACTGGCATATATATTCAATTAATCGTGAATTATTTTTTACGCCCACTGCAAATAGAAGAACTAACTTAACGCTAACAATATGACATTCATTAGTAATGTATAAGGTTTGGCGTTGACTCAAGGTAAATATTGATCAATGATTTTGACAAACGATCTCATAGAATCTATTAAGTTTTTACTGATATTAGTATTTATTAATTGAAGACAAACTACTGATTTTTCGTCTGCTTCAGAACATTTCATTTATTTGGCAGATCGATTATGTGATTTATCCCATTCAGATTTATGTTGCCAATTTGAAGAAAATTGTATATCAGCTTCCCAATATGAATGATTGTGACTTCAAAATCGGATGGTTGGAACTTGAAAAAAAAAAGATTTGATTTATTTCTGAAGTAAGAATGGTAAAGAAACCATTGCATTATATTCAGCAGACTGAATATGTATTTAGAATTAGTTATAGAATTTATAGAAAAATCTAATAAATTTGATACAATTTCACTTTACATTCAGTAAAATAAGTTTTATTCAATTAAAAATTTCAATTTGCTGTCAAATTACTAACAGCAGCAAAAAACCTGAAGTAACAATTTTTTTATAATATTAGCCTTAGTCATTTTTCGCGGGCTATAACACAATTTCATAATACCACGTTGAGCTATCGACTGACAGAGTTGTCACACTACGAAACTGTCTGAAAAAATTAGGTTTCTGTCAACAATATTTCTGTCAGAAACTATGTAGTATTCCTATAATCCATGAGATGAAAAATACCGATCAAGGTGATGAAAATACGTTCTACAAAATGGGTGAAATATAAAATATTAATCACGATACTTCTCGCCGCAATAACCTTAGCTTGCCAAGCCTCTGACACCAAAAATACGGATCTTCTCAAAATCGTCAAGAGAAACCTTCTAGCTAAAGAACGAGAGTACTTGAAATCCAAGCCGATGAGTGAGGATCTTCGAGACTTCATCAGAAATATGAAAAAGCGTTCCAAATTCAAAAGAGAACTGGACAAGAAGCATTTGTACGTAGTGAAGGATGGAAGTATCGTTCCCCTGAGCAATATTAAAACCAGAGATGCTGACTTGAGTTTCGATAATGGTGAGCAAGACACCGTTGGGGGAAAGTACACTGTCATTCCCTTGATTATACCGTTCCACGATATTTTATCTGAGTGTGATGAAGGAATTGTCAACAAAAGAGCGACTAAAGACGAAGAGACAACATTGCTATCAACGACAAAACTGATACCGACGACATTAACAGAATCGACATTAACAGAACCGACATCAACAGAACCAACATCAACAGAACCAACATCAACAGAACCAACATCGACAGAACCAACATCGATAGAAACCACGTTGATGACAACGACCTCAAGAAAAACAACCACGGTATCAGAGCCTGAGGAGGATAGTACGGATGACTTCTTCGAAGGAACCCATGCAGAAGTCACCACCAAATCAGATAAGCTACTCAGCAACGTTATAAAAGAATTGATGCAATTCGAGAGCGAAACTAGACCTTCCCCAGAAACCTCCCTCTGTAACGTCAGCGGAGACTGGGACAGCTATGCTGGAGGAGTGCAGATTCGAATCATCCCAAAGAATTCACCACACCGGCCAAAAGTTAAAGTCGTGCCCAGGGAACCTCCCATGGAAGGTTTCTTATCTACTTACACCTGGAATGTCTCTGCTTGGGTGCCATTCAAGCAGGCTTCTCTGATAGCTCTTACTGCGGTATCCAACCATGTGAAGAAGCTGGCCACATTTATAGGGGAGTGTAGGATTTGCGAAGGAGTGGAGACCATTTCTGGAAACTGGCTGATGCAAAGGAGATCCAAGAGTTGTAAAGATAGGGAAGTAGCGCATACCATCATCAGTGATGTTTTGAGGAGGAATAATATCAGGAAGTTGCAGCATGACCATCTGGTTGAGATTTCTGCTTCTTCTACGGAGGGATATGATGATAATTGAGAATATTATTTTTGTAGGTGATAATACATATTTATTATTGTTTATTAGAACTCTTTTACACTTATTTGTCTCAATACAGTAGGTAATAATTTGAAAAAGTTTTCTTTTCAAAATTAGTTCGTGGTTTCCATGTAACAATAATAATATTCAACTGTACATAATGAATATTGTTGGAGTTTTATCCCAACACCCAACCGATATTTTTAACACCTCGACACATGTTTCAATCACCAAGTGATCACCTTCAAGAGAACAGTTAATCTTCCTCTAGAAGATGATCACTTGGTGATAAAAGTAAGCATCGAGGTGTTAAAAATAACGGTTTGGTGTTAAGATAGAACTCCAGTAATATTCATTACTACACCAAAGGTTCCAAACAGTTTTTCACACGTACAACTATACATAATTGAAGACAACCCTTATCATCAAGAATAAAACAAAAACATTTTCATATGTTGAACACTCAGTCGATGTAACACGTTTCATCTTCACAAAAATTACTTTTTTTGAATTATAACACATGATTAATGAATTTTGGATAAAAACGAGTTCATGATGATTAATAAGTGTGGTTAAGTACCTGTTTTTCGTTCTCTTTTGATGCTACTGGTGAGATTCCTGAATATTTTTAAAATCTAAAACAACTTTGAATGAGGATAATACAAAATTCAACTTTTTTGAGATGTAAGAATCGTGTTCGTCCTCAACTATTAATTTCCTGCTGACACAAAAAACTTTTTTATGTTTTGAAAAAATCAAGATGCTAGTATGCTTTGAGAAAATGCTTATATACTATAATTTCTAAATAATATAATCTTACAAAAAGATATAAAAAACGATTTCTTTGAAATTCTCAATCCAATTTCATACGATATCGTTGTTTATGTTGTGAAACAAAAAAGAACAGTGAATTTCTTCTGCAAAAAATATTTTATTGAACAGTTTAAGTTTACTTTTATCAAATTGTCGTATACTTTTCGTGGGTATGTACAGGGAACGCCAAAACTTTTACAACGGCCAAATGTCTTCCTGGTTAGCAAAGCGATATTTTTCAAATTTGGCATGTATATACAGTAATGCCTTCTCTCAATGCGCCAAAAAAATTAATCTCTGATATATTTTTCGATTCCTTCAAAAACTGATTTTCTATATTTTTAATATTGAATACCTACTTTGTTATTGGTATTTTTGAACATACTTTTTTGTTGTGAATTTAATAATAAAAACATAAGTGATCAAAGTGTCCTATCAAAAAAATTGATAACTTTTCTGGATAAGCTAAAAGTATAGAAACATGTTTATTGTCATCAGTACATTTCTTGCTCAGTGCTGTATATGCACACCTATTTTGAAAAAAATCCCCTCCAGGCAATGGTTACTTTTGACCATACGTAGCAGATATTTAGCATTATTTTGGTTATGTATACTTTTTTGAATAAAACAAAGGATTCACATACAAAATACTTTTAATTTCATAATTTATTATTATCCTAAAAATATGTACAATTTTTGGTATGATAGCCGTATTTAGGGTTGAAACTCAACCCCTAAAAATAAAAAATAATAAAATAAAATAAATAAATAATAATTCTATCTATTACACTATCCCGACTAGATAAATATTGCATAACCAAAACTAGAAATTTTCAATTCAAAAACCAATCGACTAAGTTTGAGATCTGACGACAGTGAAAAATTGAAAATGTAGTAATCATTTCGGTATTTTTTGGTTGTGCTATTAGAATGTAATAAAATCAATAAAAGTTTCATCACTGAAAATTTATGAATATTTGATATTTTGTATCAATTTTAGTAATCAATTCATCTTTTGCTAACTCTATGATGTTTCACGCGGTTTTCTGATCACTGACGTCAGGAAACAAAACCTGTCACAAGGTGACCGTCATTTATGAAATCATCTATAAATACTTTTGGATATTACAATCAACTTATGTACAGGGAAATTATAGAATAGAGAGTAGCATATTAAAAGTATATTTCGAACTGAAGAGTTATTTTTCAATTTTGAGAAACAATAAGTTTGTGTATAAGTGTTGGACATGGACATTCTGGACTGGTATAATAAAGTCAGTTACATTTTCAGAAGGTACCTAGAAGACAGCCTTTCTTCAGTCTTATAAATTGGTATTTCTAAAGTTTAACCCCACAAGTGCATCAGTTATATAGTACAGAAATGAATTTTGATAAACCATCGACAAATTCACATTGCTTAGACACAACATTATCAAGTATCGAAGATATTACAGATCAGAAACTGAAATGTGAATTTATAGTTCAAAAATTGAAGCACTTGTTGAAATACCAATCTTGTTAAATTCTAGTGAATAAATACTCTTGATTTAATAAATGAACACAGAAACCTAAACACTCCTATTGTCGACTTGTTTCTCCTCCATCGAAGATATGACCTGCAGATTCTCGCAAGGTTCCTCCGCTGGAACTTTCTCCCAAATCCAGTCGCCTTCTAAGGGCACTTCGTTTTCGAAATCGAAGTTCCATTTCTCGATCGCCTTCTGTCGGTCGCTTTGGGAAACTTCAAGGGGTAAACAGAGTTCTTGTTCTGCATCGCCGCTGCTGTCACAGCCGAAATCAAGTCTTCTGCGGACTCTGTTCAAGTTCTGCAGATGTTCGGCGCAGTCATCATTGGCTGGGGTTGGAGTGACTGGGGTCTGGTTTGGGTCTGCTTCTTTTTTGGTGGGTTCATCTTGGTTGCTAGCCATCAAGTAATTTTGATCTGTAAAAGAAAATTCATCATTCATTCACTTATTCACAAGATTATGTAAGACACATGACTGAGTTATTACCGTAGTGACAAAAAGATGCATGAAAATAAAGGAATTTACAGCTCTGAAGCTGGATTGGACACTAGTTCAGGTGGCCAAGGAATGGACTAGAACACATCTCCCAAGACAATGCAGTTTTAATACGTCAACCTTCATCAGAATTGCACTTTGAACTTCTGAACATTTACAGAAAACGTATTTGCGGCTCAACTGATTTGTTGTTATGCAAGCTTATCTTGTTTGTATAACTATTATCAGTATGTATGTTGTATGCAACAATGATTTATTCAACACGGTTTTTAATTTGTGAAAATATCAATCTCATTATATTGCCCTGGGTAAGTTTTATTTATTATCTGTGCGGATATCTTGGACACCAGGGGCTATATAGCTGGGATAATCAAGCTAGGATAAAAAAGGTCATGATGGCATAATTCCAATCTAGTTGAAACTTTGAGGTTTCGAGCCAACTTGCAGTTGTAACTCAAGGTCACTACACAAGTGTTAGTTTTACACCTCTATTTATTTCTGATGTAACGTTTATGATCAACATGCTGGTTTGGAAATGACAGTATACTCATTATGGCTGGTTCATCAGTTTAGCGAAGACCAAAGATTGTAGAGTAAGGATTCAATGGTGGAATTCAACTATACCAAAATGCAGAGCTGTTTCTTTACCAGAACTGTTTTTTCACTTCCTTGCTGTAGTCAACTCAAAGAGTTGAGAGCCTCACAAAAATGAATATCGAGTTTTTGACTTGTCGGCCTGCCAAACATAAGTGTATCGGAGTAAAGTTTATTTGTCCTCAGGCTCCTAAAGCTTGGACTTTCATTTTTCCTCCCACTCATTTCGATTATCGAAGTTTTTATTGAATATTATCGGCTATTTTTTTGCGACAACCAAGCACTATTTTGTCTGCAAGACTTAGAAATGTTTCAAAAATCATTTCACTTACTTTTCCTGAAATTGATAAGCATCTGACACTGACAAGTATTTTGACTGAATTCATTTACGGCTATTTCCAAAACTAGTGATTTCATTTTTAAATGGCGGTAGGAAAGAATTGATTTAAATTACACTGAGAGCAGACAGACTTGAAAACAAATCAGCAAAAAGGTACGTACAGCACAGACATGATTCTTATTTTGGTTTTAATAAGAACCGAAGCAGGGTAAAAGGGTCCTTTGGAGATACTCATATGAAGAGTTTTTTGTAATGTTCTCAAATCAGGAGATTTGTTGTTAGAATACGATGCCAAGACATATTGCTATCGAATCCTACCCAAAATCATGATAAAACCAGTTAAAGACAGAACCATAATTATGTTGGATTTTCCCACATTTACTGTCTTGGTAAAACACATAAAATTCCATATGATTACTCTTATTCCCAGATGAAAAGTTCTCTAAGTCTTTGTTGAATTGTAAAACCTATTATTTTACTTCGTTTCTGTTGCTAAATAGTGTGCTGTAGTTTTCTTCAAGAGGTCGTTGATGTACAGTAAAAACTCTGTTTTCAATGAACTCTTTCAAAAAGTATGGTTCAATTATTTCCAACTTAATTGAATTTACCTCCGAATCGATATACTCATATATTTTGAGCATCGATCAAATGTCACACATTCAACAAAAATATTTTTAAATAACTTCAAACAGACTGTTATATTTGTTCGGTAAATCTTTCTCTTTTAAACAACAATGCTTGGAATAAAAATAAGCTCTCACCTGTATAATGCAACTCCAGTTTTGTTGTATTTTCATTACAATTTTCTTAATTACCTAAAATATGTTTCCGAACCGACAATAAATTTATTGAAGGTACATTCAAGGAAATTTCTCATCAGTATTGAAAACCGAAATGCAAATGTATATACACATGATAATATAAAGATATATATGTCTAAAAATGCAAAATATGTATTCCTAAGCTGTGTATACATACACAGTAATAGAATATTAATCGTTTCTTTGGATTTACTATATGTTCGCTATTATTACATGCAATGTTTATATTTCATTCATACAGTGGAAAGTGTATGGTGAAATATTTACAACCTCAGTATCCTGTTCTGCTTCAAATCAGTTACTAAACATTTCAACAGCCAAGTGCGGATTTTCTAGTGATTTATATGTTCATTCAATTTTATATCCAATTCTTTCCAACTATTGTTCCCTTGTAATAATTTTTTTATGCTCCATTCAAATTTTGTTTGCCTGAAATTGCATACGTCGTGAAAAGGGGACATACAGATGAATATATGAACGAAAAAGCCATGATAAAAAGAGATGTTGTCACAACTGCGAAACTGAGAATCACTGTATTTCGGGAGAAATCAACGTAAAATCGATATTCAGTCCTAGGTAAGCCATTAGAAGTCTAAGTCATAGCTAACGAATCCAGCAGAGCGCTTTCAGTAACACCGGAGGTATATCGAATATCATGTATAGCTTGTTAAATCTTGGAAGAGACTTGAGAATTCTCTCTCTCTTTCTTTCTCTCGCTCTCATAGTCTTCTACGCACATCTAGTGGGTGGGACCATAACGGAATTCAGAAAGCTCTTCCTACATTTTACAAGCCGTAGATGTATCGGTTTTTATAAGAACTATGGCAAGCAGTATAAGAATTCCGCTCTCTAGACACAAGACAAGAAGAAGGCGATGAAAATTCAAAAACACACAGACAATTTCAATCAGAAGGAAGAGAAAATCAACATAAATAAAGTTACCCGCAGTCAACACGAATCAGGGCAATTAACTCGACCAATAGAAAGAAGTTGTGTTTACCACCGATTGAATGAAACAGAATAGTCCAACCCCGAACAATTTAGTGTGCACTGCCTTTCATAATGTCTACTGCACGTGTAGACGAAACGTCAGGCATATAAAGCTGCTGACCGCAGCCATAAATTTGAAATACTGCTTTGACACTGTGAATAAAAAAAAGCAGCTTGTTTTTGCCACAAAAATACAAGAGGTCATAAAACTCATCACCGAATCAAATTTTGAACAATCCATGCCAATTAATGGCATTTCTTCGGGAAAGTGTTACCTTGAAATGAAAACCAAATGGGTCTTGGTTTTTTTTTCGATGCTTGATTGATTTATAATTGGACATTTACTAACAGAACTTCAATGGGTTTAATTAATATTCGTCATATAATTGAGTATAAATTTCAAACGTGAAACTTTATTTTCATATCTGCTGATGAGTATTACTTTATGTTATCATGTTGCTAGCGTTTTATCGTTCAACTGTTGATGTTTTCAAAGTTTTACGAGTCGCTGTATATATATCTGTTTCTTTACTAACTAGTTAGTGAATCATTGACATTGAAAGGAACGTTTGGTTACGTCATTTTGAAAAACATTACAAATGAAGAATAACTCATAATCATTTTCGAAAAATCGAAATGTTTAATTGGAGTTTTCTTTTTTGATATGGTGATGGATGGACGTGTTAGCGATCGTCCACAAAGAAGGTACACGGACGCCATTTTTGGAGATGAAAACTCATCAGTTTTTTGTTGTGACTGTCCGTCGTCATAGAACGTGCCACCAATAAAATAAACATTCTTTGTGAAAAGTCTATTAGAAAACAGATATTTCAAACAAAACGCTTAGTTTCTAAATATTTATAAAGGGTCCTAACTCTACAAAATGTATCGATTGAATGCCTGCATGGCTGTGTCGTTTGTTCATATTATGTTTATAGATTGAAAAAACTTGAAGAGGGACACGTGCATATCTACAGGGTGGCAGAGTATCCTCCGATATCTAACAAGTCTTATAAGACTTGTTAGATATCGGAGGATACAGAGAAACAGCACTCTCATTCACGCCGGTTGGAGGCCGGGGTGGACCGTAAAAATTATGTGTAAAAAGTCAAAAAGTCACTCGAGCAGGAGGCAAGTCAACAAAAAATATTACGTGTTTTTTTATAAAAGAGTTTTGATAAAAAAGGGGTGGCAGCATTGCTTCGAGCAAGACCTGTCAATTCTGATAGGCGTCCAATACATCTAGAGAGAGAGGAAGAGACAGAGAAATGCATAATTTAAATTATGAGAAACTTGATGCTTATTCAATATTTATTCCATAATTTCTTTGTAAGTAATTTTGTGAATTAATAAAAAGTTCAATATAATGTACTACGATTTGGCAACATACTTGGAAGTGTATCAGTGAAAAGGTTATTCTATTCACCTCAAAAGAAGTGATCAAGAAGTACCAGATAGAAAGGATCGTGTTTGGGAATTCCTGATCATCGAATTTTCAAGATTCAAATTCAAATAGCAAACAATCTCAATTGGATAAATGTATAAATGTAAAGAAAGCCAAGGTTCCAAAACCTCAAAGATGTCATCAGATTCTGCTTATGATTCCGCATACGAAGTCCTGGCCTCCAAGTTTAAAATCCTTCACACTTCGTTTTCCACCATTCTGATAACGAGCAATAAGCTAGAAACTCGTGAACGCGGGTTGGCACACTTGCAAGAGTGCTTGTTCAAAATCTTTATTTTATAATCAACATTGTATCAACTCAAGGCTATTCAAGTAGAATCTAATATGCCATTCGATTGCAATTTCAGAACAGTACGTATGGTGGTGGTCTGATATTTCAGTTCTATGAGACTTGAGAATTGGCCGCTCTCCAAATCTAATTTCAGTTTACAATTGTGCAATAAACATGCACTCTGCAGTTACAGGCCTTCAATACCTTAGTGCTTGCGCTAAATGTATCAATTCCAGAGAAAACAATCAAATCGTGTTTCTGTTTTTCGTTCCACACGACTTTCTTCAATCGTATTCGTTCATTCTCTAGTCCTTCTGCTCCATTTTCTTGATAGTTTCATAACTAACACTGTAAGAGTGGGATTTGTGAGTACCACCGAAAAAATATTTAGTTCCTGCTATTTCTATGTATCACTATTAGGACTAGAGCGAAGTCAGATTTTTCTTTTTAGTATTTTTTTCTTTCCAAATTATTTGCATGTTATTTGAACCTTTACTCTCATTCTATTGCCAGTTCTTCCAGACCTCAATGTTTTCAACTGCATCAGCCACAACCTCTACCTCATCTTTCTTTTTCAGTTTTTCTCTAGCAGTCTTCTTTTACCGTAAATGCCAGTGTATCTTTGGTAGCAGAATGTTATTGAAGTTTTATAGAACGTATGGCGTACAGTTTACATTTTTCATTTCGATATGGCACGTATGGAATTTTAGTTGCTCGTATTTATTTCTGCTATCATTCTGAATTTTGTTAAAGTCCAAAAAATCTCAATATTATGAACGATATTCTAACATCACCCTACTTTTGTATCGCAAATGAGTCGCAAACAAGAGATTGTATGACTGTTCGGTTTGTTTAATCACCTGCAGTGGCGTGCATTTGGGTAAAAAATGAAAATTCATCTTATTCTTTGAACAGACAGCGTACAAATGTGACAGTTCAAATCAAATCTGGCAACAAATTTTTGAAGCACTTAAGGTATCCTATTCCGATTGAGCTGAAATTTTGCATACACGTTTGGTTTGTTTAACAATGCATGATTGGCGTCTATAACTGATATGGCGGATCCCCAAGATGGCGGATCAGTTTATCAAAGCAGTCCCCCATAATTTGGGGGAGTGCTTTGATATGACGTAATGGCGTCATGAAGATGGTGGATTATGTTCTTTCATGCAGCCCCATGACATGGATATCAAATGAAAATTAAACAGAAAAAATCAAAATGTCGAAAAACAAAATGGCCGCCATGCTTAATTCAAAGACTTTCAATTCAGCAAAGATAGCAAAGATTGGGTGGAAAGTTTGGTGGTACTCGAAAAAGTGATGAAGGGACCGATCAATAGAAAAATGATGCATCAAATGAAATGAACAGACTAAGGAGAATATTCTTAACTGAAATATATAAATGATAATTGAAAATATGTTGCAATATCTGCCATGTTGAATGCATTGCTGATATGAAACGAAAAATTTGGTACTTATACATTAAAATTGCCCAACCATAAACTCATTTCTATTCTAGATGAATAATGAGTACCTACTGAAGATAACAAGTTTAGAACTATAGATGATCTAAATTGGAAGTCCAAAAAATCTCAATATTATGAACGATATTCTAACATCACCCTACTTTTGTATCGCAAATGAGTCGCAAACAAGAGATTGTATGACTGCTCGGTTTGTTTAATCACCTGCAGTGGCGTGCATTTGGGTAAAAAATGAAAATTCACCTTATTCTTGAACAGACTAAGGAGAATATTCTTAACTGAAATATGCAAATAAATTGGTAGAAAGCATTTTAAAAACAAGCTTATGTTAACATGTTCTAAAAAAAAAGAAAATATGTTTTAAATTAATTTGAACCCACCAATAAATGTATTTTATATAGGAGCTTGCTTGTCGCGAGATTTACCTGTGTAATAATAATAATAATAATGTTTAGTCACCATATGGATCACATGTATATAATAGAGATTGGGTAAATAAACGTAGGCATCACAGAAGCAACATTTTCGAAAAAATGTTCCTTGTGCGTGATATTGCCAAATTCTAAACTATGACTAAACTAAAAAATATGTAAGTGTAGATAAATAAGAATCCAACATATAACTTGATCTCGTTCATGAACTATTCTAAGAAAAAAATTGTGTATATGGTATCGAATCATATAGTACATTATATGATGAATTTCGCGACATGCTTTTATATCATATAAATTGGGTAGTGTTATGAATACAGGGTTGAAATAATTTAAAGCTTATTTTTTTCAGAACTTGTTAATGAAAGATTGTTTCTAAAAAATATTTTTACTATTAATTTATTTATACCATTTATAGCTTTCTATTACATTCATGAACTGCAAAAAAAAAATTTACAGCATTTCCGATAAAATAAATATGTATATCAAATAAATTTGAATCTCGTCCAATAAACCTAGCCCTAACCTAGCTCAATCAATAAAAGCAACACAAGAATGACACTCACTTGGCTATTTTCCTGTCTAGATAATCCCACACAGAGCTGGCAAGATCCGGACACACTCAAAAAACTCTGCGACGCCGTCTGGACTCGAATTGAAGAAAACAAAAACTTATTTGGTCTATTTTAAGGCCGCAATGGCCGACGCCGCAGCGAGTGTTCTGGACGTCGTTTTCTACAAACAATCGACGCGCGGTCTCAGGTCGAATCGATAACGCGTGTCGCGGTGCAACGCGATGGCGAAAAGTGCAGTAGCGCGCGCGATGTTGCCAAGTGTTCACAAAAGTCTTCAAGTGACATACCAAACAAAAAAACCGCACCAGACAGACAGGAGCCAATTTTATTTTCTTCGCTAGTTTTGAAATGGAGCTGGTTCCTATCTGTACACAAATCATGTTCAGAATCGCATGTAGGGAAGTCATACCTCGTTTTAGCCTTACTAGCACAAGTTTAGAATTTTGTAGGTTCACGTTCTTATGTTCATGACTTCTGGTTATCGATGAAAACCTTTTTTTGAAATTTGTCATACGTTAAAGAGGCATTCATGGATTTTTCATAATATGAAGGTTAACTCCGATATTGTCATCGTTATATCTCTGCTTTTTCAAATAGTGTCTTTCGAAAATAAGTGAAAAAATTAAAATCCATTTAGTCAATTTGACACTTTCAGTGTCATGTCATGAAAGAGGGGACCAAGACTCAAGACCGCAACTTAGAAAAACTGTTAGTGAGTCACGAAATACTTGGTCTGAGCCCACAACATCTTTTATATTCCAATGAATAAAGCAATACAAAGAGTTAAATACTAATCTTTCGACTTCCCGATAAACTAAAAATATATTTTCATCGTTACCTCGCAAAATATGTTTTCCTCTTTGAGCGAAACTGTCCTAATCTTACAAGATGAGAACGAAACTGTTCACTATTCTCATCGTTTTCACTCTTTCATTTTGAATGGAGTAGTAAAGAATCTTGGTATGCTTATCGAAATTGTTTATGGTTCTTGCCATTTGTTTAATACTTTTTACTGCTTGCTGTTGTAAGAATATTGCTCTTTTCTTTTATGTTGAAGTTTATTCGGTACAGATAATTCTAGTTGTTTTACAGGTTAGAGAAGAAACACCAAAGCTCTCATCTCATCTTTCATCATCACCAAAATTCTTAAAAAAAGTCCATATATTTTCTAGGATACGGTTGTATGAAATTAGAACCAAGAACATGACACTGACAATTTTTGGAACAATAAGTAACTTACTGAGGACATGCTTCCATTTTTGATACGATCCAGAATGAAAAAGTTCCATTTGGGGACTTGGAAGTATTATTTGCATAAGACGAATAATAATATACTGAAATACTTTTATAGTTGGGAAAAAAAGTTTTTGGCTTTCTACTACTCCATCTGATACAATTATTTGTGAGTACAATTTATTACCATTCATTCAAAGTAGAACTCATGTGAATGATATCTGATTCTTATTCCACAACAAATGTTTGAAATGCAAACTGAGTAGAGAAAAGTATCTTCTGTATAATTCAGTGTTCATATAGAAGTATTTGTTTCGAAAGAATTATTTTCTTTCGTGTAATTCAATATTTATATGAAAGTAGCTGTTTCAGGAGGACTTTCTTTCAGTTTGTGTCTAAAAGTTACTTCTTTGCATGATCTACACATTCATGTATAGAGTTTCAAATTGATTATTTCCTTCCTTTCTTTGGAAGATTCTCTCATCCCTTTTTTTTGTATCAGATGGAGTAGTAGAAAGCCAAAAACTTTCTTTCCCAAAAAATTATTCACTCCTAAAAATATAACCCCTTCAATTCAAACTTTTATAGTATTCAGCAGATGAACATTTCGCAATGGCGCAAAAGATGTAAGTTATGTTTTTAGAGAAATATATAGAGCCTGAAGTTGTGTCCTAAAGAACACAACTTCAAGGTCTATATATTCCTTTTTGAAGCCGTAGAAATAAGTACATGTGGTGAAGTTGTTGTTCTGTATTTTTTCCAGCTCAAATTAGACTACATACAGATATTCTTCAGTGCGGAAAAAAAACATTTATATTATCGTGTATATTCATGTATTCAGAAGACAATTTTAGAAAGTGTAAAGATTCAGGCAGAAAACATGTCAAAATTTAGTGACGTCAGTAGTATCTGTGAGTCAGTCTTTTTCTGGTGTTGTTTTATTGTGTAGGATATTTTCGTTACTATACTCGTTTTGATATTTAGTTTTGAGTTTAGATATTAGAGTGAACGATTTGACAAAAACTCCACTACTCACTTCAATACATGAAACTATGGCATTTTATTTTTTGAAACCTTGACATCATGCTGGAAATTTCGAATTTTCATAAAAAACCCTTCATGCCATATATTTGAAACAATTTCTGAAATACATTGAAAGGTGGCAACGTTGTCCAGGAGTGTTCCCCATAGATAAAGTGACGAATTCGTGACGTAGCAGCACCGATAAGAAACGGGATGGGGGGAGAGAAGAAACGGATGAGGTTGGAATGTTCAAAGTTCCAGAAATATAAATGAAATACGCAGTAAGTAGCCAATGAAAAGTAATTATTGATAATTTCTGCAATAATATTGATATGGAAATTTTATTAAATATCATGGAATTAAACTGGTGAATTAGTAAAACAATCTCTATCATTTTGAACAAAGAAATTGTTTTACTCAAAGCAAATATGTTTTATTAGTTTAATGAGGAGTTGTATGAATACGAACAAAGAAAATGATTCATTCATAGGTCAAAACGGATAATCCCATAATGAAGTAACAAGATTCAATTACTCGATAAAGTCACTTATTAGTGTGGTTATTCAATAATCCTGTAAGTTATGTTTCTTGACATAAATTAAAACTAGAACCTCTGGCGTAAAATAACTCTAAAACACATACTTTTCCCAATCATGAGAACTGTAATACTCTTCTCGACTCGCAGTTTTTTCATGTCCTGAAAACGCCAATTTGGTTGATAAAACGCGCCTCAAGAAGAGTATTGCAGTTGTGGTGATTAGGAAAAGTACCGATTTTCAATTTTTGTTGTCAAGTTACATTTGCTCAAAAGGTATGAGGTGTTGGTAAACATCAACGGAGTTTCTGGTGCTGATGAAGTCCTCATGATGGAGTTTAGAAGGTGCACTGACAAACTTGCTTGTTTTTTCAGTTCGTCAAATGAAAATATTCATGAATATTCGGTCAATATTTCAACTAATTTTATCTTAACTTATCTTATATTAATTTTTTAGATATTGGATTCGAGAATCGTGAGTTTCTAGATATTGTGCCTAATATTTATAATGCATTTGAAAGCAGTAAAACTCACTGAAGTTTTTTCATTTGTTATATGGTTTCTGCGTATGTCTTGACCATAGATGGTTCTCTCTCCAATACTTGCCATATGATGCTGCTACTCCTCAGGAATCCATATCGTCTTCAGCCCTCTTTTTACTATATACCAACGAACGAATGAAAAAAATTCATGGTGTACTACTAAGCTTCTACCAAGCTGCAGGTGAATAAAATGCATGCTGCTGCATACAAAATTTGGGACTGAGCCACCCTCAATATAGTAATCATTTTCTGGATGCCCTTGGTCTTCTTATGTTTGGCATTGTTCTAGACAGAGCTGTTACTGTTGTCTCCACTTTGATCATGACTCTTTCAATATGTTCGACCATGGTCAGTTTCACATCTACTCACACTTCCAAATACTTGATGGCTTTTTTTGGTACCACTCTAACACCTTCGACATCAAACTCTATTGGGCGATCTTCTGTGTTCTTTGAAATTAGTTCAAATTCGTTTTTTTCTCAACCAATTAGAAATTCATTGCAGCGCGATGTTATCCGTATTCATTAGCAAAGATTCGCCCTTCGTGGTCACCACCATGGCTAGATCATTGGTAAAACCTATCAATATAGTTTCTATAGGGAGTTGTATACGATGTATTCCAACGTAGAATATATTCCACAAGGTCATGCTCAGAATCGGTCCTTGTGGTACTTCATTGTTCACCTTTCGAATTATCCTCTGTGTTTCAGGCTGCAGTATGATGACTCTGTCTGACAGGTATGATGATAACACCTTTATGAGACACTCATTTATTTTTGTCCGTCTCAGTTCATTCAGAATTAGTTGCCAGCTGGTGCTGTTGAAAGCATTTATGATATTTAGGGTTATTACTGCACATAACAATCGATGGGTACTGGTGAATTGTTCCTCAGTCTCTCTTGCAATCCTCAACACCACAGGCTCATCTCCTTTCCTCAGTAGAAGTAGCTCCAATCAGCAAGAAACTCTTCTCTCCTCCCCAGGTTATTATATACTGCTAGAACAGGTTGATTTATAGCGACGGCATTGATTATTCCCATGGAAAATGTTTAGAGCCACGCGCCTTGTTATTCATCAGCTTTTTACTCGCCACATTCATTTCATGTCCACTAAAATTCAAGAATGCAGATTCAACACAGTTGAATTGACTAGGTGGCAGGACATTCAAGTATCACAAGTATCGAAGAAGCGCATGAGTATGGCCAGACGTGGATAACCAATCCCAGCTTTGAGTGTACCAAAATCTCTAGTACAGAATCAGATTGGGATGTGGGTCTGAAGTGCACTGGGAAAATATACCCCGGAAAAACTTGCATAAAGGGACCGTCGGGAAAGAGAATTGAAGATCTGCTTCAACAAAGCAGCGATCTACTTAGAAGAATTACTGCACACCACCAATTGACAGAACACCTGAGCGAAACGGGGGTTGTACAATGGAGAACTTAGCTATAGGCAATGCAACAAAGGAACAGAGAAGCACGTCATATTTCATGCGAATGTTAAAGAAACAATTCATTAATAATCTAGATTATGCCCAGAAGAATATGACATACGTCCAGCAAGGAACCTGAATGAACTAGTACGAGAAACAAGATTGTTGAAATGGGTGTCATGAAAAAAATAGAAGAAACCAACCAAACCAAATGCCTCTGTAATAGTAGGCGGCTTTTTTCCGTCTCATCCTTCAGCATTCCTGTTGAGTTTCATGATATATGAAGCAGTAACCAAATAATTTTTCCTTTAAATTCAGATACGTTCTAGAGCGCCATAAAAAATGAATTCCGCCGGAAGCTCCACCTACATGGTTTACTATGAATGAAGGTGTGTTCCTATTATGTGTTGTGTACATTCTGCTTCTCAGATAAAGAGCCCGGATACCACATATGTTTTATATTAT